AGATTTTACAAAAACAACTCGTGATCTACAAAAGATCTACATAAAATTAGCCAATCAAACAAATTTCTTCCTTTGACATTAGTAACGAACTTTATTTTAAATGCACCCGATTCATTGATCATACGTATCAGGATGACAGATCAAACTACTAATAAAGTTTTACTTTTCTAAAAAATTTTTAAGCATTTTTATTCAAGGAAACTTTGTCAAAAAATTTATTAATTACGATTCAATTTTTATTTTGAATGTGAAAGCTTTCATTTTTATAATTATTATGTACAAGGAAAATCTGTGATCATACTATTATTAACTTATTAACTGAGGCATTGCTCAAAATCCTTCTTTACCTCCTAATCCAGATATTCGATATAATTAACAGACTGTCTTTAAATTCGACATTATTGAAAATAATGGAGCATATATTTGGGTTTAGATTATTATTCCAATGAAATAAAGATCCGATTCTCAAACCAAGACTATGTAATAATGCCATAATTCAAGATCAAAAAGGTTTTGATCGCATTCACTGAATAAGGCATTTCATTATTTTGTAATATTGTACAAGTCATCAGAAGAAATTCCACGCAATTTAAATCCTTTCGAGATTTTATCATCACCCGTTTCCAATTTTTCCAATTCAGCCATTTTCTCTTTAACGGTTTCTCGCAATGACGAAATTCCAGAATCAAGACTTTCTTGGTCTATTTTAAAAATGAAGTAATAAGTATGATAAAAAAATTAATCGAGAATAAACAAGATGATAATACCTTTTTCAATATAGGTTTTCACACTATCCTTATCCATTTTTATAAAAAATTCACCAAGATTTACCCACACTTTTTTTTTATCCTTTTCTTTTTTCAGGTTGTTTAAAGCTTCTCTATTTGCGTTTCGAGTTCTATCATAATCTATAATCTTTCATAAGAAGTACTTATAAGTAAAGGCAGAAATAGAAAATTAGATTAAAGGAATATTCATACTAATTGCTTATTTGTTAATATATCTTCAGCAATACGCTCGCGTTCCGCAAGAACTAAATAATATAAAAGCTTGAGTATAAATAAACATGAATAAAAGAAAAAGCCTAAGATCCTACATACTTGGAATATATTCCATTTTTCAAGATAGATATATTTTATTCGATTCTACAACTTAAGGATAATGTTACACGAAGTTATGTACAGTGTTTCACGTGTCGATCAGCCAATCAAATAACGAATTCAAACCTTTTTAATAAAATGGGATTTTGTCTTGAAAATGACCTTATGGGGCATAGTAATTACTATGTCTCATAAGGTCATTTTTCAAGGCAAAGACCCCAAGTGTCTAGATCTTACAGATATGTCTTTATATGGCACTTGACATTATTACAACTTACCGGTAATAATTATATCTACATTTATATGTATAAATACTTCTGGGATAGAGCAAAAATTTCGCCTAATCTCAAAATCTCTACTATCACACCGATCTGGATCATATCTGATATTAGCATCGAAGTAATTACAATTCGTGAGTTCACGATTCAGAAACTGAAAAAGACCCGATTATTATTCTAAGTAGACACATACATATTTATATTTGAAATCCTTATTGCTAATATCGAAACTATAAAACTATGTAAAGTATCCCTCTGTTTAGTGATTGGAATCAGTCCCCCCAAAAAAATGCCACCCTAGTCATCCTACAGTGATACACAAGCCACCCAAGTAGAACTCGAGTAACCACTTATCAAATGATATAGTAAAAACAACGGATATTCTTTAGTATAGGTGGGCATATGAAATTATTATAAAATTATAATATGGGTGATAATTTTTGAATCCTGACCGAAATGTTATTACGTCATATATAAAATTGGTCCAGGTTCAAAAACAATTACCTACAGTATACTAAGATCAACCAAAATGATTCGATGGCCTGGCTAAAATTGATTTCAAAAGAATTGTTTCAAGAATTGTTTCAATTTGGACCACAGAGTCACAAAATTTATTTTGTTAATGAATATTAAAAAATGCGTCACCTTAAGCATTTCGTGATTTAGCAGTCTGAATCAATTCTTCTCAGTGAGAGGAATCGAATAGTATAAATTTCACTCAATTCTGTTCGTGGGATCACGATTCGCCACATACCTAATTCGTCATAATACTTTTTTTTTTTTTAATCCCCACTTTTATAAGCTATTTTTATGTTAGAAGTGGCCTAATTAATCAAAACATAGAGTCATAATATTTTTTTTTACGTGTATAAATTTACAGTACATATAAACATAGAATACCCTCATCTCCCTTACATATTTTTTGTCAAATTCGTCCTTTTCCCAGTACCAAGTTCGTTAATTATTCACTTTATTTTCCCCGAAACTGGTATAATATCAAAGAAGCTTCAGACAACTAAAAAAAAACTTCAGACAACTAAAAAAAAACTTCAGACAACTTATAGAACCACTGCTATACACAACTACTCCAGCACATCCATGAAATTTCACTGAGTTACGCTGAATCTATATGACTTTATTTATTTTAATCTTTTATTTGTTCATATGATAACCTTTTTTCACAGCATTTTTTTACTTTTTCTTGAAATTTTATTTGTCCATTAATATTGATACATAACACAATAATGTTAATGTTAATAAATATTTTTGGCCCGCCAAATATACCAATATACGTATAAATACGTATTTATTAAAAACAATTAAGCATGAAAACAACGCTTCGATTAGGTGTTTTCCTACTATAATTATAAGTTATTGTATAATTAATAAACTTTGTTTTGTTAATGTACGTAGACATCCTTTACATTGGGAATTTAAACTTTTTAAAAGCCATTGGAGAAATTAAAAGAAAATCTAAGGCTTTTGCTAAACAGCCTTCGATACTTTAATACCAGTGTTGGCTTGACCAGACCAGTTTGACCATTGGACCTGACCAATTTGACCAATTTGACCGGTCTGGTCAAAGAATCTGTGCTGGTCAAATTGGTCAAATAGTATATTTAAATATAATTTTATTATATAATATATATATTATATTTATATAATAGATTTGACCAATCTGACCAGTTCGACCATTTGACCAATTTGACCAGTAAATTTTTGGTTGACCACTAATTTGCCCAACATTGTTTAATATAGTAATATATACGAATCATTTGACAAAAAAAGTTCATATCAATAGTTGCTATGCACATGACTTAATATGTGATTATATTACTTATAACTTCGTCTAATAATGACATTCAATAACAAACACTTAATGCTACCGCTAATTGTTAATAGTATATTATGTTAACAAAGTATTTACTGCATTCTAGTATAGAATTTAGGTTTTTAAACTTAACGGCAAAAAAATACTTATATCACAACGGCCTTTATAACCAATCGATTATGTTCAAATCCTAGTTATCGTTATATACTTTGAATATTGTAATACAGCACATAATAATAATATTCGAACCACCTTTTGAGAATTGTAATTTACTGATTAACTTTGGAATGGCATTCCATTAATTTCTCAAATTATTTTTGCCAAGTCTCAGATGGGAAAATGATTTGTGAAAAATGCACTAGTGGTAGAAATTATGGTAGTATTCATTATTCATATATTTTGTATTATAACGATAAAGCCTAAAGTTTAGAATAGTTTATTAAAATGCCGATTTACTATCATTAATGTTATTAGTCCAATCAGTGAGCTTTGAGAAAAATTAGCAATGTGGCCAATAATATTGTCAAAAAAAAGTTTAAAGTATATTTTTTAACGAAGAAACACGTATTCAAATTTCATATTTTACAAATTATCTGATTTTTTTTTTTATAAATAACTAACCAGTTTATTGCTTATATTATTTAGTTTTTTTTGCAATAAACCATGTATATAGTTAGATCTCTCTATAGTCATCTTCTATATTCTTTATAAGCATATTTTTTTTAAAAACAACCTATTATTAAATATAATAAATTTGCCTTTTATATGTCACTCTTCTCTACAATCACATATTTTTGTATTCCAAGTATGTGATTATAGAGAGGTTTGACTGTATTCAAGTTAAACCAAATTATAGCTATTTATTTGTTTTATAGCAAGATTATAACTAGTCAGAAATAATATTTAAAAGAAAAAGCATTGACTGATAAAGAAAACCACAAAATTTTAAGTTCTTAACCTTATAACTACAATACTTTTTATTGTCAACAAATTTATAAAGTTCTGTTGTCTACAAAGTAAATATATGGCATATATAAATAAAATATAAAATATAATATAACTTGTAGAAATATGTAATAACTTTATGACTAATAAAAATTATATATTTTATATATATAAATTTTTGCTTAAGATGCAATTTATTAATCTAAATAATATAAATAAATAATAAAGTTTTTAATTATAATGATTAAATATATATACTACTTACTATTAGGAATTTCAACATCAATGGGATTACTTATAATATTATTATTTGCATTTTTATCTGGATCACTGGGTTGATTTATAATATTATTACTTGCATTTTTATCTAGATCAATAGGTCGATTCAAAATATTATTACTTGCATTTACTATTTTTTATTAATTCAAAAATTAATATCATTAATACATTTCAAAATTTTTCTTTTAATATATAAATATATTATTACCTAGCTCAGAAAGATTTGAAATATTCAAAAGACAACTTGTATATAGCTTGTGGATGTTTGATAGTTGAGATGTGCAGATTTTACTTCATAATATATTAAGAAATTTTTATCTGAGTTTTTAATTTTTTTAATTTGTTTATATAATTCAGCTTTTTTATTTTTCAAATCATAATAAAAATAATTCAGCATATTAGCCAATTCTTTAGCAGTTAGTTGGTTTTGAGGTTTTGCGTCTAAACATCTAATTATTAGATCCAGAAGTAGTTTAGAAACTTCGTATCTAATTCAAGTCTGAGACCTTTACAAATCTTAATTGCAAGGTTAAAATCATGTAGAATATCATAGTATGGAAAATATCCAATAAAAACTTCTGATATAATTATTCCAAAAAAATAAATATCTGATTTTTGAGTGTATTTTTTCCCATTTGTGTACAATACTTCTGGTGCAATATTGAGAAGTACACTATAAAATATTTTAGAATTTAGGTCTTGTAATACAAGTTTACATAAGCCAAAATCATTAATATAAGAACTATACATATTTTGATTAACTATATTTTCAGAATGAAAATCTTTATGTACTAATTTGGCTTTATGAATTGTTTTAAGCTCACAAGCTATATATATAGGTTAGTTATTTTAAAAGTCCAATCTAATTCATCATATTTACTATTTAATAATTTTCAGAGACTTCTCTGCTTTGCATATTACATAACCATCATGTAGTTATCATCTTTTAGGATCTTAGTTATTCTATAAATTGTAATTGCTGATTCGTCACCATTAAAATATTAATTAAATAATAAGATTACTATATTTTAGTATATAATTATAAATTAAGATTTATATGTACTTCTTCTAAAAATCCTTGTTTTATATCTTTATAATTATCAAGACTTTTTAAACAAATATCTATTTGCCCCTTTCTATTCCATTCATTCTTTTTCTGATCAAATCCTTTGATATATCCATCAATCCATACTGCCTTAAAAACAGTGCCAAAGCCTCCTTTAGCAAGATACTTTATATTGTAAATTTGCTAAAGGGTATCCATTCAATAAAGTCTCTAGATTTCTTTGCATTAGATTGTACTTGTCAAATTAGTTGATCAATATCATGATTATCACTTGTCCAATTATGAAATTCTTCCTTAAATCTTAATAGATTGTTGAAAGTATAAATATAATTACTGTATAATGAAGAGCTAAAATTTAATATGGCAGATTATAATAAAATCAGATCATAATGAAATTTAACTTATTTTATATATAATTTTTAAAAATTTTTTGGGCCTTTTTTATTAGGTTTTTTTTTAATAGTTAAATTAGGGTTTAGGGTTAGAATTATTAGAAAAAGAGTATAAGTAGATTTTGGTAGAGCTTATATATTTAAATTGAGACCTCACAAAGATCTGGTTTCATTATGATCTGCAACAATTATTGCATCAGAATTAACATTATTTGTATAATAATT